TCCCTTCTGACCCTAGAAACTATGAAACTATGAAACAGCAAATGCAAAAGCCAAGACTTAGGAAGGAAATGTAAGATAGTAAGTTTGTGACATGTGAAATGTGACACGCATATGGTTGGAAACAAAAAAACAGGCTGACTTTGAAAAAGACACCAAAATGTTTATTGCTTTGTGGGGTTCCTGTAAGTTATACACCAGAACAGCCTCAAACTGAACTGAAGCAATAGATAACTTGAACTGAAACTGGACCAATTCAATATTTTGAAAAAGTGTAAAGAACATCAAGTCCAGTATCAAAGGAATAGTCTTCAATTAGTGTTTCATACTGTATAAGTATTAAATATCAAGGTATGAGATAGAAGCTAGCTTATTTTTTAATCATTTATATAAGACTTTTCTTTAACCTCCACGTTAGACAGAGTAGAAATATTACAACAAACATACAAATTGAGTGCATCTTGGAAGTGTAAATTAGTCTTATGCTTGTTAATCTGTGTAAGATGTATGGTTCTGACTTCAATAAAAGGCTACCTGAAAAGCCTTCTAAAACCAGGAATACCATCTGGGTTTCTATTTCCATCGTCATAAATTTCCATTCCCATCATCATAAATTTAATAGAAAGTGTAACACGGGATTTCTTGTTAAAAATAAACCCTGAGGGGAAAAAGTTTCACCAGATTTTTACTTAGTGAGCATGCACAGAGGAAACTGAGAAACATGAAAACTGACTGATTTGACCAAAGTGCTCTTATGGCTTTAGCTGGATCCACCTAACCAGCACATGGACTTTCTCTGTCTTAAACCCAAGACCAAGGCATTCAAAAACATGGAGCTAAGGAAAAGAGAAACAACAAAAACATGGGAGGTTAAGGGAAAAGGGACTTCACTGCTACAGAAGTATTCTTACGTCAAGGTTTGTCAGAGGAAAGAGTACATTTCTTCCATAAAGAAAGACTGGATAATTTTCCTTCTTCCCTTCCTCTGAGTAGTCAACTGTACAGGAACCATTATGGGCCTAATCCAGGATCAATATCACAGGGCTAATTCTGCCTTATTTATTAGAGGTTTTTAAATGAAAGAACATATATATTTTATACATTTAAGTTCCAAAATGTTAAGCTTAAAAAAAAATCTATTATTATATATTTATAGGTCTGTACCCAAATTCTAACTGAAAACACTTAAAATAATCTAAAATTCAATTAAATATACCTGGCTATAACCCATTCAGAAATAGCAGGGCTTTATTTAAAAAGCCCAGAATGTTTAGGTTACAGAAAAATTCTAATATTATAAAAGCCCATGTCTGTCTGTCCGTAATGCTTTATTTGTGCTCTGATGGGCTGACAGAAACAGTCAGAGTGCTCCAAGTGTGGGGGAGCACCACCATGATTCCAAAGCCACACCAAGCACTGGACAGAAGGTGGGGAGCTGAGGCCAGTGCTACTGGCCTCAGCTCCCCCACCCTGCTCCTTGCAAGAGGCAGAATAGCGGCAGCATTGGGCGTTAGGCACTCCATCCCAGCACCGTCATTCTTGATCAGCAATTGGGAGCACCGCCACGATTCTAAAGCCATGCTGAGGACTAGACAGGGGGTGGGGGAGCCAAGGCCAGCCCACCCCGCTCCCCATCAGCCGCGCTGAGGACTGGACAGGGTGGGGGAGCCGAGGCTGGCAGTACTGGCCTCGATTCCCCCACCCCACTCCCTGCAAGAGGCAGAACAGTGGCGGCATGGGGCATTAGGTGGCAGCACTCGATCCCAGCCCCCTCCCCCCATCATTCTTGATCGGCAGTTGGCTAGTAACCATATATTTGTCTTAAACTATTTGTGACAGGGCACTTGGTGCGTCTGTCACTTTAAGAAGAGAGAAGCTGAGAGAAGCAGCCTGCAGGTATGGCAAGGGCCAAGTAGAAAAATCACATGACCAGAAGGGGACCAGACTTGACATATATAAAACCAGAGTCTGAGTTGATCAGGAAGTCTAGTCCTGAGAACTGCAGGGACAGGAGCTCCTGGGTGGTAGGGCTACAGCCAGGCTCCTGCCTTAAGATCTGAGCTGGGAGTAAGCTCTGGTGGTTTGTGGAAGGGATTAAGGGGAGGCAAGGAGGTCCCAGCTGGCCCAGGGTGAGAGAAAGAGGGGAGAGGAACTGAGGGTTTGGGGCCCAGAAAGAGAGAGCCTGAGCCCAGGAGGAATAAAGAGGGCCTGGGGCTTGAAGTCCAACATGGGCAGAAGTGAAAGTGCCCAGAGAAGGGTGAGCATGAGGAAGGTCTGGGAGTAAGGCCGGAGCCTGAGCAAAGGGCAGAGTGGGGCTAGAGGGCCCAAGCCCAGATAGAGGGCTGTGTCAGCAGGGGCAGGGAGCCCAGATGTCTGGAGCCCAGGAGGAGCAGTTGTCAGCAGGGACAAGGAGGCCCAAAGGTCTCAACTGGCCTAGGAGCGAAGCCAGGGTCGGGTCTAAGACCAAAAGGTCAGGGACCACACAGCCAGAAACTGCCAGGGCCAGGAAGCCTGGAAATCTCAACTGGCATAAGAGTAGAGCCAGCGTCTAGGGAGACCGAAGGTCAAGGACCACAGCCAGAGACCAAATGGGCCAAGAAGCCCATAGCCCAGAAGGGGTGAGGAGTAGGGCTAGGAGCTTGTACCATGCCATCTGCAAGGCATGAGTATGGGGGAAGATGGAGCCCATGTAATTAGCCCTGAAGGCAATGATCACAGACACCTGTGGTTATAAGAGTAAGACCAAGCTTGGGAAGCCCTGGGATAGCCTCCCTTTCCTCAGAAGTTAACAACATCAAGGCATGGCAGGACACTAAAGGGGAGAGTGCCCAAAAGGAAGCCAGGTTAGCAAAAGCTAAGTGGCCATTAGGGGGCATCATGACCACCCTTGGGAGGAGCACTCGCTACACTATTAGAGTAGTTTTTTAAATGTACTTTTATTCTGAATAGTTAATACTGCCAAAATGGCAGCGTGTTACCCAACCAGAATCCAGCTGCGTGTTTTAGTTACCATTTTTACATTTACTTATTAATCCTGCAGAATCAACACTGTTAACATTGAGTCTTGGATTCTGTTTTATCTTGTGCAGTTGTAACATAATTAAACTGTTTACACCTGGGCAAGTCTACTGAAGACAAAGGAACTTCACAGGTGTAACAGAATACATGAAACCTACAGAAGCCTTGCATTTTAGGCATTATGCAGCAGTAAAAAAAAAAATACAGAAGTGTGGATTCTAGAGCACAGATAAAAAAATCTGCATGACCGATTATTAATTTCACCTGTTCAAAGACAAGAAAGTTGGCACTTCAAAAATTCTCTCTTTGCAAAGTGGTTTTACAAACTTAAAATTTTAAGCCTATGCATTAGGGTTATTGGTTGTAGATGTGTTGGTCCAAGACAGTGGTCTCCAACCTTTTTAAGTAGGAGATCACCTTTGGCATTTAAAAGCAACCCAAGATCTACCATGTGCTGCCACCACCTTCCCCCGGCTCAGCAGGTAAGTCTGTCAGGTGGGAAGGCAGCGGAAGATTGAGGCAAAGGGAGAAAAAATTATTTGGGAGCACGACTCCCCAGCAGGTAAATCCCACCGTGCCAGAGCCCCACTCAAATTAGCCCTGCTCCTGTCTCTGCAGCACTGTCCCTCACTGCGGGGGCCTCAATCTAGCCCCCGCCCCTTCCCTCCCCACAGACTGACCTGCTGGGCTGCGCTGCATGTGTGCATGCACATGGGCACTCAGCCCCCACCCCAGCCTCGGATCTACTGCAAGACGCTCTCAGATCTACCAGTGGATCGAGATCCACTGGCTGGTGACCACTAGTCTAAGGACACAGGCAGAAAAGGTTCTTTGGGTAGACACGATGTGTGTCCAAAAGCTTGCAAAGAACCATTTTTACAACTAGTAAGTCCATCTAATATAAGTTTATACATGAAACTAGTAAGTTTTGGAATTAGAGTTCCCTTATGCACTAAGCTTAGTTTCCCTTTAACTTAAACTAAAGATCAGAGGAAAAGTTTAACTGAAGTTGCTATTAAACCAAATCAAGCACAACAACTTTATTTTAAGTTAATTTACAAGGGTAAATAAGCAATAATTCCAAAACCATGCACTTATTAGCTGCAAATCATAACATTTCAAATTAGAGGTATTGAGTCGTTACTCAGATTTTTAACAAAATATACCTATATACATATCACTTGAATATAACTACATTGTCAAATAGCAAGGAAATACTTACTTTAAGAAAATGGTGGGGAGGGAGGAAATCATCCCAGAAAAAGCTATTATTGGGGGAATAAACTCAAATTCCTGTTTTTAACCTATTTGTTAAAATATGCAATATTGTTCTTGTAACCAATAGTTCAGGCACTATATCCATATAACCAATTCCTAAAGGATACTATTCATTTAATTACAATAAATAAATAACTTATATCGCTTAAAATAAATGTAAAACAATTACTGTAGTCTTACAGATTTTCAGTTAAAGTGTTTTTTAAAGCAAAACTATACGAACATTTATAACATATTAACAGGCCTGGTACCATATCCATGTGCTACAATGAAATGTACAGCAACCATAGCAGGAAAAAAAATAAAAGTCAGCATTGCAGAATGTTGCATGCTATGCTACAGAGAGAATGCATTTATGAACACACTTCACTTTAGCCTTCATTTACTTTTCTGGCCCTTTATGTAAATGGTCCATATGCCCAAAAAAGTAAATGCAACAGCATACCCAGCCTTGTCTATACTTCCCCCATACATTGCAACATAAACAAGTCTGGGTATAGGGGCTGACACTGAAAACTGTAGAGTACCCTCCACCTCCATTAAAGAAAGAGGGCAGTCAGCACTTTATAAAAGATACATAATACCTTGCAGGATTAGGCCCATACTAAATTGTTTTCAGAGACCTTTTGCCTACCATTTGTTACTGTAAGCAATATTAACCATAACAGTGCTTACAAATGACAATAGGTAAAGTTACTGGCTTCCAAATCACAAGATTAGTAATGAGATGTATGTAAGAACATAAGCAATGTTAACTGCAATGGCTGAAAAAGATTTTCATATTTACTAAAATGTTTACCCTGAAGAGATGCATAAAAGTATTATCTATTTCTATGCAACAAAATACTTGTGCAATAAAAATAAAGCCATACAAACTAAGGGCTGCCAAAGTTCTACTTTTATAGGGCTTAACAGCTTCCTGAAAATTCAATTAACTGTATTTTAGTGTATTCTTTTCTCTCTCTCTTTAGCTTAGCTCAAGAAGCAACACAATAATAAATAATATTAAAATTGTGGAATGGCATAGTAAAGCTAAACAGCAGTCACTTTGAAACCCGTATTTAAAAAAAATATAAAGTTCCTTTCATGATATCCATGACAAATATACAATGATACATAATTAACCTAAGGGAGCCTAAAGTTTCAAGTACAGAGAGTTAATTATAGCAAGATAATGTTAATTTTGGACAACCTGCTTTGACTCCAAAAGGTTTTATTACACCATGTTGTTTTTTTGGGAAAATAAAATACCAAGATACCAGTAGTCTCACAGTGACAGATTAAATATCCCATTTCAAGTGATTTACTCAGAAATATAACATGTAGACACATGCCACAGTCTTGCAATGTACCTTACAAAAAATACTTTAGTTGAGGTGCAGGAACTGTTTCATAAGTTCATATGTGGTAAAAGCCACAGCCTGTGAAGGAATACAACGAATATAATTCAGAGATAAACCACGGTATAATCCTCTTCGTATTCCATGGTTCTGATATACATACTTCAGTGTCTGCACCATTGTACTAGAAAGACAAAAAGAACCCAAGCTTTTATTCAACACAGATTTATGTTATATTTAAAAAAAAAATTTAAATTTTAAGCATACATCTTTCTTTACAAATTTCTTAG